AGTAAAAAAGTAAAATTGAATTTGTTGGTTAACTGACAGATGCATGGACGGATTCCATTCACGTGTCCTCCAAATGCAACCGGTCATTAAAGGTTTGGGGCCCCAGCTGCCAAAATGAAAAATTTTGATATATTCTGCTAAGTTTTGAAAGATTTGGGACCTCAAATGCTATTCTTCGTATTTATAATTATCATAGAATTTTGCTACTTGTATATAAAAAATTGTACAAAATGGATTACATAATATAATGTGGAGGAAAAAGATTGGATGGAAAAGTTATTTTTGTTTTAAATTGACAAATGACAGAATGTCATGTGATATTATGTAATTCATTATATAAATCTTGAAATATATGTAACAAAATTCATCATCATAACATCAGGGACTTACAAGCAAAACGTATGTTTATTTTCGTCTCCAGTTACTTTGTTAATCAATTTTATTGAATGAAATCGTAAGAATACGACTTTAGTAACAAGTAAGAATACGACTTATAGTAACTAGAAGAGTCGTCAGAACTTTACATAATTAACTATATTCCTGAAAGTGACCACAAAAAAATAACACACTCAAACACCAAACACTTTATAATCGTTGTATTTTGCCACGTCAGCCTTCACTATCGTGTTGCCCTCCCATATCTTTAACGTAGCTTTGCTTAAGTAAAAAGTGATCGATATTCAATAATCCCACAAGCACCGCTCCCAAGCCTTAGTCCAAAGCTAGATTATATAACCCATTTGATCCCATTAAAATTATAATACATTTCCATCTTTTTTTTAAACCACACATTCTCCAATAAAATAATATTACACGTAAATCGAAACTTTTTCTTCTTTTTTAACCATTAATTCTCCAAGAAAAATACTATTCCAAAAATCATAATACCAAATAATGGGGCCAAACGGTGACATAATCCTGAGCCCTTGTTTGATCCCCCGTTATTTTCACAATACATTTTTTTTCTTATTTTTAAATACACATTTTTAAATAAAATAATATTACACGTAAATCTAAAAAAATTTCATATTTTTTAATCGCACGTCTACCATTAAAAATCATTTTTTTTCAAAATGAATTTGATTCTCCTTCCACACCTCAGGCTCAGATGAAAAAATAGTGGAAAATGGTCGGTTGACCCGGCCATCTTTCCACAATGGGCGTTGACTATGTAAGAAAAAAGAAAAATTAATAAAAAACTTATAAAGCAATGAAAAATCATTTTTACCCTCACACCATTTGGAAGAGAGAAATGAGAGAAAAAATTGTAGAGAAACCGACGATCCATACGGTCAAAAAATCGACGACCCAAACCGGAGATTTACTTTCAAAAGAAGATGAGCAAAGAACTTTTATATACATTAATTGAGTAAATAAAGTATATTTGTATGTTTATTGAATAAATAAAGCATGTTTTATGTTGATTTGTTGTATAATCTTTGTAGAAATTGAGGTTTTTGGTGGGCTTTGGGAGCGGAGATCGCCGCCATTTTCGGCGATTGAAGGAATCTAACTTGTACAAAATAGATGAGTATGCCTTGTTGCACCATACCTGCCGTACTTACGAGGTTGGGAAAATTTTCCTGTGGATGGTATTCTAGACATACGTCTACGTCCGGAGCACGTGGTCCGACTTCGAGTGGCAACAAATTATTAGTGGGAGAATATGGTCGGAAACTTCCCACTTGGCTTCACTTGGTAGATGAAATATTGTTTCGGCATACTCTGCTCTTAAATAATCAGCCGTGTAATAATTACTGCATAAAGTGTGTGGTGGAAATCCTCTATGCATAGCCACCACCGCTACATGCGTACACGGAAAACTCCGCAACTGAAACTTTCTACATGTGCACGTGTTATCATTCAAGTCTACGATGTATCCGATATTACTTCCACATCTTACGGAGAAGCGAAAATGATCCAGTTGTTCCACCCATACCATTTTCGCTACTTCTAGAGTCTTGAAGAGTTTATCTTCCTGAGTCAGAGTCAGCACACTTGTGCAACTCTGTGATTCCTCACGTCGGTCATGAAACCATTGATGTAGCTTATTACAAATTTACTCAATNTCATGTTGTATCGACGTCCTGGAAAATGTGATCGTGCCCAAGTTCAATCCCCATCTCTGTTAGATAAACTCATACAACATGTGATTTACTTTTTATTTCAACCATGAACTTTTCAAATTCTTCAAAATTGTAACCCTATGCATCTCTCCTAAACAATGTAACGATGTCACTGCCCCGATACTTCGTCTTGAGTTTACCCTGTATATGGTACATACAATAATCATGATTTGCCTCGGGAAAGATTTCGGGGATACCATTTACTATTGACTGCCCCCGGTCAGTTACGAATGCAAGGTTCTCGACGTCCCCAATTACTTCCATCAGCTTCATGAAGAACCAACGCATCGCTAGATCATTCTCTCCATCGACTATGCCGAACGCAAGATGATAAATTTGGATGTTGGGATCTTGACATGAAACAATAATCAACTTGCCTTCGTATCTAGCCTTAAGGGTTGTCCCGTCGACTAGAATTACGGGTCGCATCGCGTTCCGAAATCCTCGAATGCACTGTCCAAGGGCCATGAAAAAATACTTGCAGCGCTTCCCGTCGTCCGTATCAATATAAAATGCCGATCCAGGATTAGTTTTCTCCATGTTGTGGCAATATCTAGCCAATTTAGCGTAACTTTCCTCGGCCGAACCCATTAAGTCCTCCAATGCGCATTCTTTGGCCTTCCAGGCTTTCTGATAGCTCATGACCACCCCGTAATCTCGACG